TTTTTTTTTTTTTTTTTTTTTTTTTTTTTTTTTTTTTTTTTTTTTTTTTTTTTTTTTTTTGCAGATAATACTCAAAATTGGGAATTACCACAAGCTAGATTGCTGTTTGAAATGATCACATTCTGAGAATTCTGCAGGTGAATTCCATCTGTGTTTGGGCTGTCACCTGGCGATGAAATGGTTAATGAAGAAACCTGAACTGATGTGCAACTATCAAATTTCAGGTGAGCCTGTTGGCTGTTTTGGATGGTTATTCCAGAGACCGTCACTCCATCACTTCCATAGAACCTAAGTGCCTGCACAATAATGATAGAGTCACAAACAGAAAACTCTTTTTGATCCATTTGTTCTACTATAGTCAAGTTTAAGCCAAGGTCGTACAGTTGGTTTGGTGCTTGGAAGTTTTCTACTACTGCTTTCCTTGTCCTGTTTCATGAGGTTAAAACTGTGATTGAGAAGCTGTTTGACTTGAAATATGAAATACTTTTGATTTTTATCTGACTTGGTTTACAAAATTACCAAATTTTCGTCAGTAGGATCATATGTGGGTGAGTCATTCCACCAAACCGAGCCTTGTCCATCAATAGTACCTGTACCTTTCACTGTAATCCCTTTGAGTTTAGTGAATTCAATCCATTGTAAGAGACCTGAACCCCAAGCACTAGGGCTTGTAGGAGCGATGATTTTGCCATCCAACTGCATGTCAACATAAGAAATATACTTTAAAATGTGCATCAAGAAAATTTTCCTCTGCAGCATTAAGGAGCTTTCTGGAAATTTCTTTGTAGAACAGTTTTTGTGATTACAATCCTTCTAAAACATTAGGCTACTGTTGCACTTAAAAACAGTTTTGAAATCAACTTCCAAAACTGACTTCAGTTTATTGATATTGACCTGAAACACAATGTTCGGTTTGCAATTAGGACCAGAGAATGAAATGGGGCCAACGAGGAACTCCGACCCCGAGGGAACCTCTACAGTTGATTTCTCTGCATTGCAAGCTGATTCCCAAGCTGCCTGAAATGCCTGGTATGCATACATTGTCAAGAACTTCTGTAAGTTTTCAATTCTGTGAAGTATAAATGCTGCTTGTAAAATTTATATGTAATGTAACGAATTAAGTAAAGCCTAAATTCACCTTAGTGTCATCTGCCCTTCCATCACCTTTAGCTCCAAAGTCCAACACATTAAAATTGCCTGAACCACCTTTACTAGCATCACCTTTACTTGCTAGTGAGGCTCCCACAACATCCTCACTCCCAACATGGCCACTGTCCGTCAACCCCAACGAGCTGCTGCCTCCACGGTGACGATGAATGCGCCCGTGGCGGTAGCCTCCAGTTTTTCTATGTGCCCAATGCTTGCCTCCTCTAGCTTGGCAATTTTGCAAACTAAAAGACCAAACAAAAGCACAAATGAAAGCAATAGTTGCCAGACATTTTAAATTCTTCCCACCCATCTCCATCTCAAATAGGTAGAGAGAGAAAGAAAGAGAGAGATAGAGAGAATTCTGCAAGTATGATTGACAAACAGAGAAGATTAGGCTTGTATTTATAGGTTGAAAACTAGTTCTATGTTGGATATACTATTCACACACGAGCTCCACAGTTCAAAAGACAACTTGAGTTGTGACAAAACACCCTTTCTACAGTTTAATCTTTTTTTTTTTTTTTTTTTTTTCCTTTCAATCAAGCTAATCCATTCTTTATTCAATCTCATTTGGATTAATTGAATTCGGCGGCCGCCTTCTTCCTTAAAATCCAAGCTAAGATTTGTGGCAAGAACACGCCAGGAGAGAAAAGATACTGGAGACACACCATTAAGGACATTGATACACCACAAACCAATACAGCCAAATCAATGAGAAAATATATTTTTGCACCGTCTAATGAACTCTTTTAGTTTGGAATTGTTGATTGGTTGCACGTGAATGGCAGTTTTTTTCTCCCCTTTGAGAGTAACTTCTGCTATATGAAAACAAAACAAAAAAAAAATATAGTATTAAAGAATATTATTAGCTTAAGTTTTCCGTTCCTATAATTATTCAATTTGATGCCAAATCTTTGAGATTATGACTTCAATACCATGTCAGGTTATTTGTTTCTTATTTTTCTTTGTATAATTCAATGATCGCAGTCGAAGGATCAAATCATTAATCTTTGGAATTTGTGTTTTATTCATTGAGGTATATTCAAATGGGCGTAAATTATAGTATCGATATAATTTGGTACTAGTAGAGGTTGAGATCCTGAGTTTTAAACAAAGATTATGAGTTCAAACTTTGTGAATGTTGTTTTATATCATTCTTCATGCTGGTAGTCTATGTAGTAGGCCTTGTGAGTCAAAGTTAATGTTCAAGTTGCATGTGAGGGAGCACATTAAGTCATTTTAAAGTCAAATGGATCATGATTACTCTAAGTTTTACTGCTAGATTCATTATGGTCGATAGTAAAAGAGCATTATAAAAAAACCTCAACCAATTTAGGCTCACACCTTTTTGCTACGTACTTGACCAAATACAAAACTTGGTTTGGTTTGGTTATATTTCATGTTTGATTTTTCATTTAGTGTTTTGGAAGGCTATTATCTTTTATATATATATATACACACACATATACACACACACATCGAGGTCATAATTGGATCGGGTTAATTTTTTTCCAATAACCATTATAGATGGAGCTCCCAAATATTCACATGACCAAAATCTGTCTCCCAAGTCCCAATAGTCAACCCTAAACTTTAATAAATAAAAAATATTGTACTTAAATTTGCTTAATTAATTAAAATTGTTCTTAAATTGGGTAATCGGAACAAATAAAGAGTAAAAAGATCGTCCATTCCTTGGGTGATCCATTGCTCTCACGTTTGAGTGTTTGCTCGTCGTTTAAGTCAATGAGTGAGATTTATGCTCATTGCAGTCACCCCGTGGTTATTCGCACCTAGATAATACCCGGACACTTGTGCTCCAACCCTTGATCAAATAAACTCCTACGATCCACAATTCAAAATGAGTCTGACGTATAATATAGTTTTTGAATAATAAAAAACTGAATTTAAATAAAGTATGATATAACATATCAATAGACACTTTTTTTTTTTCTTTTTCTATGGATCATTAAAATAATAAATAAACGTGCATGGCCTAAGGCAAAAATTAGCTGTTTAGATTAATAAAGCCAATCTTCGATTCAAAAATTATAATTTTAAAGCAAGATTTGCAAGTAAATGATATAATTGGACAGCTATGTTATCCTTTATGCAGATTTTGATTGACACGTGTACGTGTGTATAGTACTATTATAAGGTACAAACTTTATAATATATGCTGACATTAAAATCATTATTTAAATGTATTATTATTATTTTTTTTGGTTAGGACCAATATCGAAGTGACACCACGACCGAGAAGGGTATGAACGAAAAAAAAGTTCAAACGTTGTGGATAGTTTGTGCAATTTACAATAATAATTAGCCTCGTGATCGTTGATTTAGGTTAAATTATAAAATTAACCTCGTAAATCGAGATGGTCGGATTTATTCAATCTTTGAACAAATTTTATTTTTGAAAATACTTATATTTAAAAAATAATAATTAAGAGAGTTTTTTTTAAGTCATATATCATTAATTAACATAAATAATATTAATCAATATACTATATATATATAAAAAAAAAAGTTTGCCTTTTTGTTAAATTCAACCAAATTAAATAATAACATTTCATTTCTATTATTATAACACTTATTTTTCCTATTTTTTCTAAAAATAATTTAGAGTAAAGAAAATACTCGTAATTTAAACAATATAAAATTTAAAATAATTACGTTATTACATCAATAATATATTAACTTTGTTAATCACACGATTTACTGTTAATTTAACTTAATTTTTCGAAATTAAAATTGAAATTTACGACTAATTACTGGTATCGCATTTTAGGGAAGGATCTAAGGCTCCAAAATTTCAAATGGGTTGAAAATGAATTGGAATTAGCATAAAAAGAGGTACCCGAAAACGGCGCCGTATGACATGGAAAATAATATATATATATATATATATATATGCATGTGAATTGGCCGCCGTGTCAACGTAAAACCGTTAAATTCAGTTCATCCCGGATCTCATGCCTTCTCTTCTGGGATGGGTTCCCTCTCTCTCTCTCTCTAAATTTTATTTTAATATTTTTCAAGATAATTATTTTAAAAGTAATTTATTTATTAATCTATTAAGAATTAAAATAATTAAAACTCGTTTTAAATGTTATTTATCTCTAAAATTTAAATTTATTGTTTATAAAATTCCATTATAATTGTAAATGCATTTATTAATAATTTTCGATTCTGTCTCTTATTATTGTTATTATTGCTTATTTATTTATTTTTTATTTTTATTATTATTTTGTCCTTTCATGCTTCCATTGTTACACATGTGAATTTTGAAATTTTGAGCACAATAATTTATTTACATTATTTTGACAGACGAGAAGCATGGACAATATTCTTAATAATTAATCAATTTGTACAAAATAAATAAATAAATAAATAGAAATTGTGTGCGTGTGATTTTTGTATATATAAAATAATTGTGAATTATGGTTGAAGCTGTCTAATATTTATTTATTTTTTAAATGAATATAATAAATTAAATAATATTGACTCGTAACGAGCATGACAACGATATTCCAACATTTTTCGAGTAATACTTTATAATTAATTTATTGCATAAAATTTTGTGTAAATTACTCTTTTAAAATTATGAATTGTGATTTAAGTTTCAAAAGTTGAATATTATTCATATTTTATTTATTATACAAAATTAAATGGAATAAGTTATATACTATTGATGTTTACTCATTCTAATTCATTTATTGCCTAAAATTTTGTGGAAAATTTATATTTTTAAAATTTAAATTCATTCGGTTAAATTTTGTTTAAAAAATATTGTTTTTTAAAAATGCCGTTGAACTTTAAAAATTTTCATTAACACCTTTCCAACTGGTAGTAGTATGTTTAAAAAAATACCCGTGAAATTTTAAATTTAGCATTAACATCGTTTACCATTATAAAAATTCAAGAGTATTTTTTAATTTTTTTTTTTTTAACTTTGAAGATATTTTTTAAGTTTTTAAGGAAATTTAAGGATATTTTTTAAGTATTATTGAAAATTTTGAATGTTTAAATTTTTTTTTAGTTAAAATATAAAATATAAATTACACTTTCAATTTTTTTTTTGTTTATATGTCGAAATTATATAAAAATAAATATATAAACCAATAAAAAAATTAGGCATATTATAACCTATTCTTCCATGTTTAAAATTAAAATTTATAAGATTTATCTAATATGTGGGGCCGACATAAATAACAAAATTAAATACAAATATTTAAACCACAACAAAATCCAAACATCCAAAATTATAGTTAAAAAGAATTCACAGTTTAATCTCTAGTTATTACCGCTTCTGTTGGGCCTCGAGCAAGCCCAATAAGAAATCCAAAATAATGGGCCCTCCAATTGGATCTGGAATTCAAATTTCTATGACATGAGATACATGTAGCATAAGTCAATAATATTTATTTGTCACAATTTATTTTTTATCCGACGTGGCGGAGCAAGAACTCGAATACTTTTGACTTTTTGACTTAAAATTGTATGTCAACTTATTTTTGAATTTTTACAACACTACTTAGAACTCGACGCTGGATGCCTATCCCGATGATGGTCATGTGGCCAAACGAGGATTGAAGATTTATTAGGAGGTGAATTATCGAGACTGGCGGCGCACAAGCTCAAAGGAGAAGTAGTCGAACTGCATGCTATCAACGCGGATGTACCGAACTCCTTTGCTGGAGTCTACGTACATATCAACTTTATATTGTATTTATACACACCTTGTTTAATGAACACGAGTGAAAGATTCAAACATGTGATATTTTAAAATTAATGTTATTTTTAAAGGTGATAGTAATGGTCCCGTTTTTATAAACTTTTGGAAAAAAATTAAAAAAATTAATGAAAATTTTAGAATTATTTTTTTTAATATTTTTAAATAATTCAAACACAGTCACGAATCTTTTAAAAATTTAATAATATATATTTTTTAAAACAAAATACTAATGGTTTTCATTTAAATGTAATTTAAAGAATAATTTTAAAGATGGGAGATATTACTGAAATGGTCGTCATAATTAATAAAAATACTTTTAAATTTTAAATTTTGTCTGAAAAAAATATTTAATATAAAAAAAATAAAAAGTTGAAAAAATACCTTACAATTTTAAAAAACCCCTTTTAATTTTTTTTAAAAAATGTTAAAGATCTATTTAAAAAATATTCATGAATTTTTAAAATTAACATTAAAAAGTTAAGGATTTCATCCATATATTATCTATATATTAACATAAATATTTTTTATAAAGATAAATAGTATTAATACTATTTTAAAAATTTTGTCGATATTTTTTAATCATAACATTAACGCTAACATATTTTTAAATTAAAAAATTTAAGTATTTTAAAAACAAAATATTTTTTTAAATAAAGTACAACTTTTTATAAAAATTATTATTACATATTTTTTAATTTAAAGT